CCAGTCTAACCACCATCTCCTCCAGCAGGCCAAGCCCTGGGTGAGGTCCCCAGAGAATAGAGAGGAGTGGAGCAGGCTCCTAGTTCAGGGCAGGGTTCTCTAGGTCTGTAAAGCCCAGGGTTCATTCTGTAACCTAGGCAGGCCGAGCTGGCCAGTCACAAACCTGAAATTATAGAGGACCGAGTTAGAGAAAAGAGGAAAAGAGAAGAAACCCACCCCTCCACTCCCAGCCTTGGGTAACGCAGCTGATTGTTAATTCTCCGCTGTTTGCCTGCCCCATCAGCCCCCACCCCCACTGACCAGGGCGGGCACACACACACAATGTGGGGGTGGGGGGGGGACCGGGCCAATGAGTTGATGGCAGGTCAGGACAATTGTGTGGGGCCCAGTGCAGACCCTTCTCAACTTTACCCTCCACCCCTTTCCCTCCCCTCCCCTCCCCTCCAATCAGGGGAGGAGCTGCCCTCTCTCGCCAGCCGCCCCTCCCCAAACGCACTGGAAGAGAGAGGGAGTGATTAGCATGGGGCATTGTCCCCAGATAATGGGCCCCAGCTGCGGCTTGAAAGAAGAGACAAAGCGCCCAGCCGCTCCACTCGCATTATCCCCTCGTTAAATCTCTGTTATTAGATTAGATTCAAAATGTATTGATTCGGAGGCTGGGGAGGTTGGGGAGGGAGGAGAATCTGGCTTCTGAATGCTGGACCACACCCCCACATGCTCGCCCTCCTTCCGCTCAGCCCCACCCCACCGGCAACTGTCCCCGTCCGGTCCTGAGTGGCTGGCAGAGAAACCCAGCATCTCTTATCCTGACCAGAGCAGAAGCCTCTGAATGTGTGCTGCAGAGGGCTATGCACTGAGCTGCTAACGCAAGGTGGGTGGTTTGAAACCACCAGCCACAAAGTCAAGTCCCGTTCAACCCCGGGCAACCCTTCTATACAGAATTCCACTTTCTGTACACAGAAACAATGGTACTTTCTTTTTCTTTCAGCACATCAAAGATTCTGCATCTGTCCCTGTCCCAAACGCTCGTGTTCTTCTTACAGAATCAAAACCTCTTTGCACATGTATAACCCTGATAAGGAAGGTCTTTCATCAGTTCCCCAAACACCAAACTCAACTGCCTGGAGTCCATGCGACTCCTAGTGACCCGATAGGTCAGGGTGGACCTGCCCCTGTGAGTTTCTGAGGCTATAAATCAGTTCCTCATGTTCTGGTGACCCTCAACCATAAAAATATTTCTGTTGCTACTTCATAACTGTCATTTTGCTACTGTGAAAGGGTCATTCGACCACCAAAATAAGGGGTCTCAACCCACAGGTTGAGAACTGCTAGAAATCTTTACAGGCATAGAAACCTTGCCTTTCTCTCAAGGAATGGGCTGGTGGTTTTGAACTGCTGTGTGTTAGGGTGGACTAGAGAAACAAATTCATCGACACTCATGTATATACGAAAGAGTGCAATTGAATATCGAGAAACCATCCCAGCCCAGTCCAGATCAAGTCCGTAAGTCTGATATTAGCCCATGTTTCAATAGCAATCTATAAAGTGCTCTTTAGACTCACACAACACATGCAATGATGCCAAATGCAGGAAGATCACAGGACAGTGGGTGGAAGGTCTTGTGGCGGTGGAAGCATCTCAGCGCTGGTGTGGGTTTCCACATGGCTCCTCCTGCTCTAGAGCTCTGGCTGCATCAGCGTGGCTCCATCAGGCTCTTCGCCAGTCATGTCTCGCAGGGAGTGAGCGTGTGTCCTGCCTCCAATGAGCTATTTCTCTCCTTAGAGCCTCGTAATGAGGTCAACAAGCTGCGACCTGATTGACAGCCGAAACCCCACCCCTTCACTCTTAAATCTCCAATTGACAACAGATTATGTAACTACCACATGCTGACTTTGCAGATTACAGCCCCTGGCATATCCCCTACGCCAGCAGGGATCCTGGTGGTTAGTTACTTGTGTTTACTTATGATAATCTGTAGTGAAACAGCTTCACCATGATCCATAGTGATAACTGTTCGCTACAAATTGGTAGTAAGTAAACACAAGTGAGCCCATGCTTTCCTGGTTAATTGGGTCATCTTGCCCTCAGGTGGAGACTCGGCCAGTTGGCAGAAGCTTCAACAAGGACATGGGTGGTCTCTAGTTTCTCTTTGCCGGGACTGAGTGAGAGGCAATATAGGCTAAGGTGACGGGAAGGGGAAAGGAAGTAAATTCTGGGAGTCCTTACGGGGGGTTGGGGGTGTGGATTATTTCTGGGTGTCCTCAGACTCCACGTAGGGTAAAACTACCCCCTGGAGAAGACCAAGATCAGTTCCGATGCACGGGAGTTAGCACAAGGCGGGGTTCTCTGGCCCTGGCCTCAGTTTCCCAGCACTGGTCAGCACAGCCTGGATGCTAGATCGATAGCGGATTGCATGTGGCTAGTGGAGCAGAAGATGTTACATACAAGTAGCGGTTCGTCCTCACGGTGGTTAATTGGCTGCCTCCGTTCTGGGCTCTGTCGCACCATTGATTGTGAGCGGAGGGTGGAGGGGGAGATGGGGAATCAATAGGTTGATTAGTGTCTTACCAGCTCTCTGGTTGGACACTTTATCAATAGCCACCCACTTACTGACCAGTGATGCATTGACAGGCCCGGACTGTCCAGCTTTCTATTGCTCGTGGCTGAGACATGTTACCTAACAGCATGGCCAGCCCAAGCATGTCTTAGTAAAGTGGTAGTTGGGGTCCAGACTCCGAAGTATGGGCAAGCAGGGACTATCCTGATCGAGTTGAGATGAACCATTCTCATCAGAAGGCAACATTTGTGAGTTGGGCCCATCTACAGCCCCATAATCTCTTGCTGGGAAACCCTATCTATCCCTAGTCCCTATCTATCCACAAAGCAAAGATAACCAAAGAGCCCGTCAGGAATGTCAAGGAGCCCTGCTGGTATGGTGGTTATGCGTTGGGCTGTGATCGCATGGTCAGCAGTCTGAAACCACCAGAGCTCCTGGGGGAAAGACTGAACTTTCTACTCCTGTAAACAGTTTCAGTCTGAGAAGCCCACAGAGGGTCGCAATGAGTCAATATTGACTCGATGGCAGTGATGGGTTTTTGTTTTGTTTTGTTTTTAACTAATATAAAAAACAACATGTGTGGGTGGAAGTTGCAGGTGAAAACTCCTTCCCAGTTCACCTGAGGCACTAGCAGCCAGGTAGGTACTACTGAACAGTCCTTGGGGTATGCGGTGGAGGGGGGTGGGGGGTGGGATGAGAAGAAGCTACATCTTTTTCCCCAGCCTCTACGATAGGCTGGACACGAAGCTTCCAAAGGCTCCAGGCTCTCGAATGGCCCATCAACCAGAACTGCAGAGTCTATGAGCCAGGGAAGGTATAGTTCAGGTTCTGCACGCGAGCTCCTCCTCCCTGGCCAGGCAGAGACGACTGGAGAGGCAGTGATGTCAGAACGCATCCCAGCTACTGCTGTTAGGTCCTTTCCTTCCACCTCGCCGTGTTCTCTGCTCCCACTGCACCCCGCCTTCCTCCAGGAGACAGGCAGCCCAAGACAAGGAGAAAGGTAAAGGTGGAAGGCCGGCAGGGTCTGGCTTGTCTTTGTTTTGCAGACCTCTTATACTGGTGGATGGCGGGCTGCTCCTCCGTGTATTGTAAAGTCTGATGGCTGGGAGAGACAGGACTGAGAAGGGAGCTTAAAGATCACCATGCCCACTCTGTCTCCCTCCTGGTCCTGCTTCCCGGGAGTGATGGGGCTGGGGCTGGCTGCTCAGTTGTTAACTCTAGCCTTGGTCTTCGCCTTGGGTTCCAACACCAAGCCAGCTAGAGCTGGCCATGGTGCTGATGTTCTGGTCCCCACTGCAGGATCTCTGAGGGGAGAACTGCTGGGCAGTTGCTGGTGGAGTGAGCGCGGGCTCCCAGCTTCACTGAGCGATCATGGTCCTAGAGGGATGGGAGCCATGCTCTGCCTCCCTGCTCCCAGCATCTTCACAGCCTCCCCTCCCCATGTCACCATTGCGAAGCATTCATGGTCCCAACTCTCTTGTCTTTCACCCTACCCTCTATAGTTTCTTCTTTAGGACAGCCACCATTTAGGCACCATATTTCTGGGGGTATAGGAAATGTCAAACACATGATCATTCCCAAACCTCATCTCCACCCACGCATCCTTCCCCCAAAAGCTGCTGACTAAAGGCCAAGAAGCAAAAGCAGGGCTTCATCACACTTTATTGTGCCTATTAGCTAATGAAAGCTTGGGTGTTGAGGGACATGGTGGTGGTGAGGCGAAGGAGGAGATGTGAGGGGTCTGGGAAAGGCAAGTGCAGAGTGGTCCGCTCCATGTAGAGTAGAGAACTGGTTTGGCACTCCACCTAAAACCGGGGTGGGGAGAAGTACGCAGAATCCCAATTGCAGCTTATTTAGGAATGTGCCCAAGAGGACCCAAGGCTTGGTAGAGAGATCAATAGAACAGAGTTAGAGAATGCGCAGACTGCTCCTGATTTAAGACGGGAACTATTAAAGCCATGAGGGTCACTAGGGGGAAAGGCTCCAGATGCCTTGACACCAAATTCTCAGAGGAAGAGCCTAGGTCAACTTGGCTCAAGATTACTGAATCGAACAGGCATTGGGAACAGAACAGACTATTCCTGGATCACCCCGTCAGCAGATGTTGTAAAGCATCGAGCAGGTGGGGACCCATGGCAGGGGGCCTAGATTCCCCAGGACAGGAGGAGGAGGAGGAGAGAGATAATGAAAACACTGATGTAGGTGAAGACTAATCTGTCCCAGTCTGGCTGGGCATTGTTGAACGGAAACCTGTTTTGCTGTGTATATTCCACAGAAAATAAACCACCAGTAAGGGGGCGGGGCGCAAACAAAAGCAATCCTGGGCAAACTAAGAGGGGGGAAAATGTCCCTGGGTGGCGAAGGATCTAAGTGAAGAACTCCCCCCCCCTCCCCCCCACCATCCTGACCTGTGCCACCCCACCTGTTACCGGGCTGAGCCCCCTCAGGAGTACTGCCAGATGGACCAGAGTGTGACCAGGGTGATGCTGTAGGCCAGCACCGCCAGCAGGTAGATGCGGAAGAGCAGCCTGTCCAGCACGGAGCCCACGCGCAGCCAATCCCGGGCCACCTCCCGGCTCTCGTCCCGCTTCTCCAGGAAGTGCCGGATGGTGGACAGCTCCTGCAGCAGCCCACGCACAGCCAGCGAGGCATCCCGAGGGGGAGGGGGAGGGCTGCCCAGGCCCCGAGGGGTCTTCTCCAAGTCCCGGGGTCCTGCCAAAGAGCTGCAGTGGTTTCCCACGGCTGGAACAAGAACAGAATACCGGCAGGATATGGGTGTCCACATAGCGGATAAACCTGAACACGGTGTCTCTGTGTCTATGCTACTGTTGCTTGCTGTCAGGTCAGCCCCTCAACTCCCTGTGACTTCTTGCACAAGGGCCCCAGTTCTGGGTCATCCCCAGAACTGGATCAGGATCACGCTGTTATGAGCCATCAGGATTTCATCGGCTACTTTGAAGAAGTGGATCGCGAGACCTTTCTTTCTAGTCCGTCTTAGTCTAGAAGCCCCACAGAAGCCTGTGCAGCGCCATAGGAGTGCGCAAGCCTCCAGGGGCAGGTGTGTGGCGGCTGCGTATGAGGAACACTGGCTGAGGATCAAACCCAGGTCTCTAGCATGGCAGGAGAGAATTCTACCACGGAACCACCAATGCTTGCCAGAACCCTGGAGCTGGAGGAGCCACGTGGAGACCCACCACAGCACTGAGCTGTTTCCACTGCCACTGGATCCACAAGACTTTCCAACCACTGGCCTGTGATCTTCCTGCATTTGGCATCATTGCATGTGTTGTGTGAGTCTGAAGAGGAATTTATAGACTGGACATATGGGCCAAGATTGGACTTATGGACTTGCTCTGGACTGGGCTGGGATGTTTTCTTAACATAAAATTACTTTTAATATAAAGTTCTTTCCTATACATAAGTGTCTATGAATTTGTTTCTCCAGTGCGCCCAGCCTAACACAGTTCATTCGAGATCGCTGTGAGGCAAAGCCAGCTCAATGGCACCTAACAATATTCGCCACCACCAACCCAAAGGTTAGTGGTTTGAACCCACCCAGTGGCTGGCTCCCCAGAAGGATGATGACATGGGGACCTGCTTCCAGCCAGGAAAACCCTGTGGAGCAGTGGCACTCTATGGCACGAGGTGGCCCTGAGCTGGGATGTGCTTGGCAACAAGAAGTTTGGGTTTGGGGGCATGGCCCCATCTCAGAGCGAGGCCTGCCCCTGGCACCCGTCTGCCCACACCTGGGCTATCAGAGGCTGTGAAGGGGAGAGGCCAGCTGGGCCGTCCCCCAACGAGGCTGCGTGTTGGGAGTGCCTTGAGCCCTGCCCAGGCCCTTCCACAACCCTCCAGTCCAGGCCCGAGGCGACCCTCTCTCACCTGAGCCCTCGTCCATCTTGGCAGCCGGGGTGGGGACGGAGAGCCTCGGGGAAGTGGGGCGCTCCCCCAGGCAAAGCAGCGTGGCGAGCCTCTGGAGCACCAGGCGCCGCAGCCAGGGGGGCACTGGCTGCTGCAGGTCCTGTTTGTGCACCAGCCGCACGATGAGGATGGTCTCGGCCAAGCTTATCACCAGCAGGGCCATGCACACCACGAAGTAAACGCCTGCGCACCCAGGGACAGAGAGACACACGTGGGGAGGTGGGAGGGGCGTCTCCTGGGCCTCCCTGAGCTCCGCCCCCAGGGCGGGCCTTACCAATGAGGGGCGTGCCAATGGCCGTGGCGGGCAGCGTGTCTGAAACGATGATGAGGAAGACGGAATAGCCCAGTAGGAGCGTGATCTTGAAGGAGACTCTTTCTCCACTCTCTGGGGGCAGGTAGAAGCCCACGATGTCCATGACCATGAGGAAGATGCTGGGCAGCAGAAGGCTGACCGCATAGAATAGGGGCCGCCGGCGGATAACCACCTGGGACCAAGAGAGGAGACAGGCTTTGCACCCAAGACACCCCACCCCACCCCACCGCAATCCTATAGACCCCGTCTTCCTGGAGCAGTCAGCCTGGATTAGTCAGAGCAGGAAATGAACAGGCCGGCAGTCTGCCTTTGGATTCTGAGCGGGGCCTGCTGGAAAGGGGGTGGGAGGGATGTTCTAGACAAGTAAGGGACGATTCAGCCGAGATCCCCCATTTGGTTCATCAAAGTATCCTAGAATTTGTGCCATCCCCAAGATAGAAAAGACTCAGAGAATCCTGGCTCCTTTAAGCTAGCTGGTGGCATAGTGGTTATGAGCTGGGCTGATAACCTCTAGGTCCGCGGTTTGAAACCAGCAGCCGCTCTGCAGGAGCAATAGGAGGCTTTCTACTCCCATGAAGAGTCTCAGTTCTACCCTGCCCTATGAGGCCCTGGTGAGTCCGAATGGATTCGACGGCAGTGAGTTGGGAGGTGGTTTTGTTTTTTAAGTCCATCTGGGGCGGGTCGGTGGGGGCGCAATCTTGGGGTGCAATGGAACCCCCTGGGGCAGTTCTGTTCTGACCTCTAGGGTCACTGGGAGTCGGAATCGACTAGCTAGCAATGAGTTTGGCTTGTTCTTGTGGACGTGCCCTGGGTGTAACAGGCCGGTGGTGGTAATGGCCGTTTTACCCACATTCACGGCAGGCCCCACTCACGTGGAACTTCATCTCCGCATAGTACTCGCTGCCCTCGATGCTGAACTGCTGGAACTGCGGCAGCACCCCCAGCAGCTCCCACTCGCCCTGGTTCATGAACACACTCTTGTCGTACTTCACCTTCTCGGGATTGCGCCACAGGGAGATGTTGATGTCCTGGACTGCGGGGGCAGAAAGCGGGTCGGGTTGGGAATCTAGTAACCGGAGCTGGCCCTACCTGGAGGTAGATGGTGGAGAGGGCAGGCAGGGTGGTGTGGCAGGGGCAGCACCCAAGGGCCGTGATGAGAAGTGGCTGGAGTTGAGGTTGCTGCTCTTAATCTTCAGCCTCAGTTTCCTCAGCTATACAATGAGGCAACACTACACATCGGACCTATCTCCTTGTTAAGAAGCCTCCAGTTGGTTCTGACTTGTGGCAACCCTGTGTACAACAGAACAAAGCATCGCCCAGTCCTGTGCCAACCTCACAATTGTTACGTGCAGGGGCGAGAGGGAGGGCAAAGGAAGCGTTGGATGAAGACTCCCAGCAAAATGCACAGGACCACACAAGCCACTGACGAGAAGGTCTTTTCTGTCTGTTTCCTCGTCTTGGCAACTCTCTCTGTTGTTGTCTCTGTCTCTGTCTTTCTTACACACACACACACACACACACACACACACACACACACACACACACACCCCTACATGCCTTGCTAGTTTCCCCCTTAGAATGACCCCTTTAGGAAATGACTGGGTCAGTACTCTTGACCTTTGCCTTGATAGACCTGCCTGTCTTCAGAGGCGAATTGGAAAAATAAGCAAACTCCTCGATTATAAAAGGGCAGGCCTGTTCCTCTGCTTTTATGCAGGTACCCACATGTGCAGGGAAGACAGGGGTAACCCTTCTAACAAAGCACTCCTTAAGAGTTAGGTTTGGTGTCAACTTGGGTGAGGCACGATGCTCCCTGGTCCGGCAGTTAAGATCTTGTCATCCCCGTGATGTCCTGATGAGTTCTGCTGTGAGCAGCCCATCGATGAGTGGTCAGAAGACTCGGGCGGAGTGCAAACCCCCTACTCAAGTCACAGCCCTGATGCCGCTGAAAGGACGCTCCCCCAGAGGTGTGGCCTAATCCCGTGTCAGTGTGTGCTGTGGGGAAACTTGTTTGCTTTTTGTCGGATCTGGATCCTGCTGGTTCATTGACCTCCAGTTCTTTGTAATTGAGAAAACAGCCTGCCCTGTTGCCCCTTTATCCCAGAAGCCAGCCACACCACCCTGCCTGCCCTCGCCTGACTCATTCACCTTCCCAGTCACAAACCTGATGTGCTGACCTTAGAGTTATCCACCTTTGCAGCCTGTGGTGCTTCTCCCGATGCTGGGTTCATCAACCCCCAGAGCTCCAAGAGGAAGGAGAAGCCCCCTGCTGAACATCAAGCCCATGGACTTGAAACTGGACTGGACTTGCCTGCTGCTTCAACGGTGTGAGCCATTTTCACGTCTTTCTTGTTTTGCTTCTCTAGAGAGCCCAGCTGTCGCTGGGAAAGACCTAAACGTCCCTCAAACAGAAGAATGCCTCACGCACCATTGTGAGATGTTTCATCACTGTTAGAATTTATAAGGGAGATTGAATATGCAAACTTGTTCAAGAGCTCTTGGTGAGTAAAATGAAGTTTCAGTCTATCATAGTGCACCCAAGAGGAGGCAGATATGTAAAATAAAGACCCATGCACACACAAATAGGTGGCTACAAAGGCACAGAGGAGGATCTGGATGACGTTCACACTAATAAAGAATGGTTAGTCCTTGGTGTTACCAGGAAAGCTCTTGGTGATGAAAACCTGGAATTGATTGTGAATAAGTGTTATTGAAAGTGTTGCCCTATCCACGACCTTCCCTGTTCATGTAAATAGCGTCCAGTCACTTTAATATGTACAAATAATCAATTCACATATTATGGGCTGAACAGCTGGACTATACATATATAATTTCCTTTCCACAGTCTTTAAAATTCTATACCACTGGTTAAATCAATGATAGCATCAATAGAATACCTTATGCCCCATAGGGATGATTTATAACATTCTCTAGTATAAAAGATAATGATGTTTCTAAAGTGAACCAGAGACATGTAAAATCTATAGCTACATGGATGAAGGACTTTCACTGAATTGTAAGTCCTGATCCAAGAACAATTAGTTCTTATGAGTCTGGCCCTGCTCAGTTCTCACCCTTATGAAAAGATCAGTGAAGATGTGGGTGCCTTAGCAAAGTGTGATGAAGAAATCAGATGGTGCCCAGCTATCAGAGAGAGAGCACTGTGCAGTCAATTATGATAGATGTAGGTAGGTTAAAATGTAATACCTTATGATCAGTTATCAGGCATCAACGAACAAAAAAATCATATCATTGTGTGCTCACCTCCCTGATAC